AAATTTATTTGCTGCCTTCTTAATTGTGTCCATACGACATTCCAGAGACCTTGGTGTTTGTTGTCTATAACCTACCTTTTTATGGAATACTATTGTGATCATTTACCACATCTTATCTTTCTTTTGACATATGCCTGAAACTGGGTCTTGAGAAATTTCAAGTCATGCCAAACATAGGAACTGATCTTTTTGGTTACTGAATGATTTTCCTCGAACAGATGTCATAGTGGATGAAGAAAGATTGGTGGACAAAAGTAGTTGTCTAAATAAATCAGAAAGAAAGGATGAGAGTGTGACCATATGGGATAAGAGTTATCATTATTTATAATACAAGTTTCCCAACAAGAGGTGATGGTGGGAATCTAGTGATTGCAAGAAGACAAACATAGGACTCGATATTGATACGATCAAACATGGATCTTGGAAACATCACCTGACAAGAGGTGATGGTGGGAATCTGATGATTGCAAGAAGATAAACACGAGACTCGATATTAACACGACGGGACATGGATCTTGGAAACGTCACCCAACAAGAGGTGATGGTGGGAATTCAGTGATTGCAAGAAGACAAACACGAGACTCGATATTGACACGACCAGACATGGATCTTTCACAACGCTTTATTAGTATGAACTCTAAATGCAAAACTCAATATTTCACAACTCTTTTCTCATCATACAATAAAATATGAGCTTTGGAGAAGGTCCATCTTGGAACCACTCTTCTTCTTCCTCCAATGGAGAGACCCTCGATCTTTGCTTTCAAGACTGGGAGAATGAACTGGCTGAGCAGGAGGAGTGAGATAAACTCTTGAAGAAAATATGGGCTTGTCGTCTTCAAGAGAGTAGAGAACGAAAATGTAAAGGATCGATTCCCGGTCATGTGGTGACCAATCGTGGAAGAGAAGAATGTAACTCTCGACTTTGGCATGATTATTTTTCTGAGAAACCCACATATGGGGATGCTCTTTTTCGCAGAAGGTTTCAATGTCGAAGAGATCTATTCCTTCGCATTGTCAACAGAGTAAAAGAGCATGACAACTACTTCGTGCAGAAGAGAGATGGTCTTGGTGTATTAGGATTATCGACTTTACAAAAAGTAATAGCAACACACCGTATGTTGGCGTACGAAACTTCGGTGGATAGTACCGATGAATATATTAGGATTGGTGAGTCAACTGTAATCCAATGCTTGAAGAGGTTTTATCGGGCAATTATAGAGGTGTTCGGAAATGAATATTTGAGATATCCCACCGCGGGTGACATTACACGGTTGCTAAAGAAAGGCAAAAAGCGTAGATTTCAGGGAATGTTGGGCAGTTTAGACTGCTTGTACTGAAAATAGAAAAACTATCCAACGGCTTGGGCGAGACAGTACTCAGGATGTCATGAAGGCTCAACAATGATTCTCGAGGTAGTAGCCTCATATGACTTATGGATATGATATGTTTTTTAGATTACCAGGATCTAACAATGATATTAATGATATAGGCAATAAAAATTTCCTTTACATCAAGGAGAGCAAACCTCGCCTGTTTGTTTGACTGGCTAGCACAAGTCAAGCTTGCCTGCATTCAATAGGCCAAGCAAAAGCTTGCTATTTACTTGACTTGCCAGCAAGCAAAGCTTGCATGTATTCAAAAGGCTGTTTGTTTGGCTCGCCTGCACGAGCCAAACCTCGCATGTTTGTTTGGCTCGCCTGCACGTGCCAAACCTCGCCAACCTCGCCTATTTGCTTGACTCACCAGCACGAGCCAAGCGTGCTTGATTATCGAGCTCGCCAGCATGAGCTCGACCTTGCCTAAAAGCCTTGATTGCCCGTACGAGTCAAGCCCGTCTGCAGTGAGTTTGCCCACACGAACTTAGCTTGTCAACGAATGCCAGCTCACACGTCCGAGGGTCCCGCCAGCCTATCCCGCCTATTGCCAAGCTCGCCTGAACGTTCAAGCAGCTCTCAAGCTCACCTGCAAGCCTGTCAGCCCTACCTGAATAGTGCAAGCGACTGCTTGCTTGTGGGAGTGGGCCCACCCACTTACCACGTCTTGGGTAATCAGGCATGACTCCCATCACCCCTATAGTGGTCACATCCCATAGCTATAGGGGAGTATACTACTCCTCACTCCTATTAGTTGTCACATCCCACAAATCAAGTGATGGCCCATGCCATCTCTTGCCTATTTATTGGACCCCTTTGCCAATGTAAAAGGGGTTCAGCTAACAAATTGGTTGAGAAGCTTGGCATTTTCAAGACTCTTCAACCAGAGGCTGGATCATTTAGAGGCTTTCTATTAAGGCTCTTGGCTTCTTCTTGGAGACTAGCTAATTGGCTCCCTCAAGGCACTTCAAAGAGAGATCTTCATTGACTTGCTTGATAGGACATTCCTAGCTTTTTGCTTGGATTATTGAAGTAGACTCAATCAGAACTTTCAGATTTGAAACTTATTAGCTCTTTACAAACTCTTACATTGTAGCTCTCTCTAAGCTTTCAGCCTTGATACACATCAAGCTCAGATATAATCGAACTCAATCACACGAGCTTCTACTGCGTACTGAAGCTCAACCGCAATTTCGATCGGATCATCCAAGGGAAGCAAACTCGACGCAAGCATTCGAGGGATGTGTCCTATTGCTACCGAAGAACCCACGTTAAAGAAGAAGAGCATTCTCTTCACTTCTGTTGTAATCTTGATTTGGTGAGTCAACCCGTAATCCAATGCTTGAAGGGGTTTTGTCGGGTAATTATAGAGGTGTTCGGAAATGAATATTTAAGGTATCCTACTGTGGGTAACATTGCACGGTTGCTAAGAAAAGGCGAAGAGCACGAATTTCCGGGAATGTTGGGCAGTTTAGACTGCATGCACTGGAAATGGAAAAACTGTCCAACGGATTGGGCGGGACAGTACTCAGGACGTCACGGAGACCCAACAATGATTCTCGAGGCAGTAGCGTCGTATGACTTATGGACATGGCATGTTTTTTTTGAATTATCGGGATCTAACAATGATATTAACGTAGTACAATCTTCAAATTTGTTTGACCAACTAGCACAATGTACTTTTCCTCCTGCTAATTATAGTATTTTAGGAAAGAATTATGATACAGGTTATTACTTGACCGATGAGATATACCCCAAATGGTCTACTCTTATACAAACAATATCCCAACCACAAGGGCCTAGGAGGCAGCTCTTTGCTGCTATGCAAGAAGGATATCAAAAAGATGTAGAGCGGGCTTTTGGTGTTCTTCAGTCACGATTTTCCATTATCAAGGGACCATCATGCTCTTGGGACAAGCGGAGACTACACGACATAATGACTGCTTGTATCATACTACATAACATGACTGTGGAGGATGAACGCAATGCAGAATTAGAGATTATTATTCACGACGAATCTTCAAGACCTGAAGAGATGGAGATTGATGATGCCGAACAATTCCAACGATTCCTTGATCGACATAGGAAGATTCAAGATAGGGAAACTCATTTTATGCTTCGGAACGCGCTAATTAAACATTTATAACAGAGGCACGACAACGAAAGAATGTAATTTAAATATTGTAATTTATGTTTGTATTTTCTTATAAGGCAAGTTAAATAGATCATTGTATTTAAATTTTCATGTTTGATACTTATTTATTTAATTTAAAAATAATAATTTTATAATAATAATAAAATAAATTAATCTTAGTTTTATTTTGAAGATCTTGACGAGACCTTTCCAAATATATAATTATTTCAAAAATTAGATTAAATAATTTTTTAACTATATTTATTTGAAATTAAACATCTAATTGAAATTACTAAGAATGATGACAAAGTGGTAATTTTTAAGAGATTAAATAGTTAAAAATGATAAAGTTGTAAATAATGAAAGTTTGAATAGTAATTTGGAGAGTTTCTCCAAATTCTAGCTTCACTATCCAAATTTGGAGAGTGAACCATCTCCAAATTTAGAGATCTCCAAATTTGGATAGTGATTGAAGAGGATTCACTTTTCAAATTTAGGGGGTATTAGTCAATTGGGACATTTTTATGCAAAATAAGATAATTGTTAAAGTGAAATAATTTTTCGCTAGTGGGATATTTTAGTGGGATAAATAGGAATAATTTTGTGAAGTGGGATATTTTGATAAAATAACGTGGGATAAATTTTTATAATCATGAAATATATATTTATGCATTTTAAAGATATAAATATTATTTATGTATTTTAAACTTATTATTATTGATTGATAATTGCTTACAAGAATGTTCTTTACTATTAAATAGCTTTTGGTTAGACTATAAGATTTTGACAATTATTATTATAATGATGGTCTAATGATGGTGATAACCATAATAGGAAAGAAGTAAAGAAAAAAAAGAAATATAAAAAATAAAAATAACAAAATAAATATGAGTTCTAGTTTTTTACTACCTAGTTCCAAGCTAAAACTTGGAATAATTTGAGAGATTAGAACTCTTATTTTTGTATAAAAAATAAAAAAAATAGGATAATTTTGTACCATTATCCCAATTCTAGTTTTGTTAGAGTTCTACTTGACTAACACTGTAAAATTTTGTTCTAGTTTTAGTTCTATGTGACTAACACCTTAAAATTTTATCCCACATATTATCATAGTTCCAATTTTAAATTCTAGGTGACTAACCCCCTTAGAGCATCTCCAACAGCTTCCCCATTTTCCATTTTTGGAGAATATAGTTAGGTTTTTGGTCTAACAGATTCTCCATCTCATTCCCCAAAATAGGGATGAACGAGAAAAAATGGGGAAGCTTTCCCAAATCTGCAGCATTCTCCAAATTTTTGGAGGAAAAAAATGATTCTTCAAAATGAGGAAACTGTTGGAGTTGGTATAAAAATAATTTGGAGAATATGAGTTTTGCTTCCCCATTTTGAAGAAAATTTTAGAGAAGCTGTTGGAGATGCCCTTAGAGATCTCTAAATTTAGAGAGTGATTGTAGATGGTTCACTCTCCAAATTTGGAGAGATGGAGATTCTGCCGAGTTATTGGAGATGCTATAAGTACACCCGTTATGATCTCCAAATCCCAATCCCCAACAGTCCATTGCTTGAAACCTCTCCAAACTCTAAGTAATCAGATCCCCCACCATCTTTTTCATATTTGCAAAAGAAGGACGTTATAAAATGGAAGGCCACCCTCTTCTCAGAGGAACAAAGAGAGGGGAAGGATACAAGTACAGCCATGGGTTCTCAAGGTCACAGATCACGTCAATGGCTGCCATGTGTGAAGCCCTCGTCCCCTCTCTCCCTGTGGAAGCCGTCCACGTCAGCGCCGGCAAGGGGGACCCACCAAGCAAGACCCTACAAGCCTTTTACCTGGCCTCTGCCTCTCAAGCCCCCATCCCTGATGAGGTCCTTTTTTATACATCTTTTTCCTTTTCTGAATATTAGTCATCTGGGTCTGTTTTGGTGCGCGTTGTTGTTCAAATTTTATGTCAATAACTTCGGGGTTTTTTTTTTCCTTCTTATTTTCATTTTTTGGTAAGTATGAATGAGATTAGTCCCATCTCAGATGAAGCTAATATCATAAAGTTGACATTTTGAGCGTGTTTGTTTGACCCAGAAGTTTTATTGTGTTTTTAACTCCACGGACACTTAATTTAATGCAAATAACAAAGTGGGCAGCATTAATTCTGCATGGGCATGTACATTTTGGGCTTAATTCATGAAAACAAGCCAGTACCTTGTTTTCTGAGCATAATTTCATCATTCTTGATGCAGCAATCATCTGTGTACTTTTTATAATTTTATAGAAAATTCTATGATTAATTGAAGCTCTCTTCAGTCACACTCACCATCATCATAAACGAGGAGGGAAAGAAAGAATTAGTTGTTTCTCTACTTAATATTGCGTTTTCCTTTGAGTAAAATGAGAGTGCCAAATTCTGGGCTTTTATGATTATGCTTCCAAAATTGTTGTTTAATAATCCCATAAAAAAATTCCTCTCTAATTTAATCAATGCATGTTATTGCGTCTTTTTAAAAAAAATGGCTGCCCTTTTGTGATAGCTTTACTTCCTGCCAAATTGAGTGATGACGAGATCATTTTACTTGTAATGTTTGCAGGTTGCAGAGCTCTTGGTAAAAAGGGGAACAAAGGAGGGTATTTTCTTGGTGAGATTGATCCTGTGGTTGCTCGGCACAAGGCTTGGGACCCTCCTCCTTTGTGGGTCCTCCCTCAGCCTTCGCAGAGAGTTCCCATTCATTAACAAGTTCTCAGAGATGACAGTGGATAAGAGAGAAGCGGTTCTAAAGAGATGGAGCAGGGAGAAGTCTTTTGTATTTTTAAGGTTGACATTTCTCATGGTCAAGTCCTTCTGCTTGTTTGTCTTCTACTCAATGGTAATTTTTAAACTCAAAAGCAGGAATTCTTTTTTTTTTTTAAGTTGAGTCAACAAATTTTGATTTCGGGGTAATTATAGATACAACCCATGTACTATAGGAAAATAGTCAGTAATTACCTCTAAATTCTTTTATTAGCACGGATTTATATATTAGTCATCTGTATTTGTCCTATATGGAATAATGAGTCTCTCTGCAATACAAGAAAGGCCAGAAGATTTTTGTGAAACATATTGACGTCACACGTGACGAGTATGGATAATGCTGGGAAAACCCCGTTAATTTTTAGTATATGTTCTAGAAATACAAGATCTTGATTTGGTTTTAAGTGCTCTTGTATGCAAAGAAGCAAATTGACGGATAGCACAGAAATAAGTAATTTCAGCCTATTTTTTTTCCTTTCTTAGTTACTTTATGCTCCCATTTGAAGGTAATTATGGAAGTGGTGGCATGTCCTGTTTATAGAAGGTATATAGTCCTTTTAGGTCTATTAAATTGGCACAACTGAAACTTCAGAAATATGAAATTTATCCTTGTGATAGCTTTGATTTCAGAAACATTTTTTATAGCTTGTGGGTTGATTCTCTAATGTTCTGCAAAATGGCTAGCTTTCTACGTAAAACAAGCAAGGAGGCACATCACATTTAATTGTTAAACCTCTTCAGACCATACGTCTATTATACAACTCAGTCCACTTCTATGAGCAATACAGCACCTGGCTACTGACAAAGCTTAAAAAATTGTACATAGATATTACAGAGAACTGCGTTGAATTATGGCATCTTGTGGATTGATAAGGTACCTGTTGGCCATGCAATTATGCTAGAATCGTTGAGCTTATCAACAACTCATCTATTATTGACAGCAATATTGTGTCCAAATCTTGTTAACCACATAAAGAACCACCAATTGTCTTCGGCAATATCAACCGCGGGTATTGTGGATAATGCTAAGTTTTGTCCGTCAGGAGACGGTATCTATATAGAATGACATGTAAAACAAGAAAGGAGGAGCATCTTAACTTTGGGTTTTAGTCTGATTAAGTTATTTTATCATTGTTATCATCTACCATATAGGACCACATGGTTATTATACATTTTCATGTACTGTTGTTCATAATTTAGCAGATTAGTGACATAATTGATGTGGACTATTGAGTACTTAATCATTTATAGTTAAATGTGGTCAGTTTCATTCCCTACGTTATGATGTAGATCGACATGGACCTGTGTGGTTGATGATTATTATTATTACGGATGTAAGACGTTGGTTTGATTCCTGTAGTCAGTACACTCAGAAAGCTACAAATAGAAAGAAAACCTAGGGATCCCCGTGTTCGGTTCAAATATGAGAATAACATCAATTGCCTTTCGGTCTTTTTCTACATTATCAAGGAAAGGTTGGTCTAGTTAAAACTAAACAAGCTGCGAACACTAATTGAAGCTCATCCCCCTTGGCAATGGAAAGTCTCTTATTACATTATGATTGCGGCTGTTCTTTTTTGGTTGTTAACATGTTGAATGTGATGCTGTTATTATTGGCTCAGGCTGTGGTGGTGGAGTTGCAGCTTCTATCCTTTCGAGCTCAGGCTACAAGGTTATCGTCATAGAGAAAGGAAATTACTTTACCTCACAAGACTATACGTCCATTGAAGCTTCATCATTGGACCAGATGTATGAATCTGGGGGATTTCTCAGTACTCTGGACTGTAACATACTGCTCTTTGCTGGGTCAATGGTTGGAGGAGGTTCAGCTGTCAACTGGTCAGCTTGCATAAAGACACCCGATAATGTTCTCAAAGAATGGGAAGAGGAAAAAAAGCTGAATCTTTTTACGAATCAAGAGTACATATCGGCAATGAACAAAGTCTGTGAAAGGATTGGAGTCACTGAAACCTGCACAGAGGAAGGACTGCAGAACCAAGTTCTTCGAAAAGGCTGTGAAAAACTCGGTCTTGATGTTGGTTTTGTTGCGAGAAATTGCTCGGAGTCTCATTTCTGTGGGAGTTGCTGTTATGGATGTCCAACAGGAGACAAGAAAGGAACCGATACTACTTGGTTGGTTGACGCAGTTAACTCTGGCGCAATTATTCTGACCGGATGTAAAGCGGAGAGATTCTTGTTGAAAGGGAACAATGCTGGCAAGAGATCCATGAAGTGTATTGGAGTAATAGGAAAGATTTTGAGCAAAAATGTGACGAAGAAAATACAGATCAAAGCTAGGGTGTCCATTTCTGCTTGTGGGGCCCTCTCGACTCCCCCTCTGATGCTCGCCAGTGGGCTAAGGAATCCCAACATAGGGAAAAACCTACACCTCCACCCCTGTGCTGTAGCCTGGGGATACTTTCCAGAATCAGTATCAGACCTCAAAGGCAAGAAATTCGAGGGGGGGATCATCACTTCCATCCACAAAATGAAGGATTCGAATTCTGATAATCGAGCAATCATCGAAGCACCGGCCGTGGGCCCCGCCTCATTCGCGTCATTCGTTCCCTGGGTATCGGGAAAAGACATGAAAGATAGAATGCTGAAATACAGTCGAACCGTGCACCTCTTTGCCCTTGTTAGAGATCTGGGATCAGGCACAGTGCAAGGCGAAGGGAGAGTGGTATATAGAACGGGTGAATTAGACAAGGAAAATTTGCACAGCGGGTTGAGGCGAGTGCTGAGGATTCTGATAGCAGCAGGGGCGACGGAGGTAGGGACCCACAGGAGCGACGGGCAGAGGATGAGGTGCAGAGGGACCAACGACGAGGATGTGGAGGAGTTCTTGGATAACGTGGGGATTACAGAAGGGCCGAAGGAGAGGGAGGAGTTATGGACTATGTATGGTTCAGCACATCAAATGGGGAGTTGTAGGATGGGGGTGAGCGAGGAGGAGAGTGGGGTTGACGAGAGGGGGGAGAGTTGGGAGGCTGAGGGCTTGTTTGTGTGTGATGGGAGCGTGCTTCCTACTGCAGTTGGAGTGAATCCTATGATCACCATCCAGTCTGTTGCTTACTGCATCTCCAAAGGGATTGTGGAGTCTTTGGAGGGGAAAAGAGGGTAATTAAATAGCTTGTTTGCCTGCTCTTTGATGAATTCAAATGTTGCAGTTGTGATCACTAGCCTATGTAAGGTTGTAAGCATGATATTTGTTATACAATATCTTGTTTATTTGGTATGTAGATGATCATGACGGTCAGAGTTTGAGTGTAGTGCATGGCTGGCGCTTTGCCATAAACAACATTGCAATGTTTATGAGAAAACACGGGACAAATAAGATTAACATAAGAGTCTCAAGCTTCTTGATATTAAATGTTTTTAGTATAATTAATACTGTTTTTGCAATGTTTGTTAATATTAGTTGCAGAGTGATTTAGATGCTGTTATAGGGTGTCCCCTATTCCCCATAAATATATTATCCCGGGAACAGACTCAGTCGAGCCGGCTTCATTCCCCAAAGATGACCCGAAAGGCAGACTCAAACGAACCAAAGATTGTCACTCGGCGATCACCCGACTCTTCCCCCAAGGGCGACTCGGAACATTATTCCTCAAACATTATTTTATCATTCATGATCATCATTATGACTCCACGTCACCCTACCAACAAGCCCCGACAGCTGCTGGGTCCCCATAACAGAGAAGTGACTTCATGTTACCCGCTGACAAGCCTCACCCGCTGCTAATTCCCCATGTCACTAAAGTGACCTCCCATCACTCACCAGTCGACACGTATCGGGCAGAAGATGACTCAGCCTCCAGCTCATCACTCGTCATCATCATCAACAGCTTTTCTCACTGAAATGCCGATTCGACCCTTGGCGCCCTCTATAAATACATACGCTATTCCTCCCGAAAAAGAGAGAGGTTGGATTTTCTTACTACCAAAAAAACCCCTAGACACATATTAGAACACATCGTTCTTCTCTAAAAACCCCACTCAAGGCCACCAGCTGACTGGACCGTCGGAGGTACCACGGGGGAAACAAGCCCCGTACTCCCACGATTCCTGTGTGGGCAGGTTCGCAATCTAAACTTTCCTACTGATCTAAATCTGAGAGATCATCATCTCTAATGCACATAGCATAAGAACACATAGTTCTATTACCACACCCAAGTCCAATGGTTGACTTGACCGTCGGAGGTACCACGGGGGAAACAAGCCTCGTACTCTCACTATTCTTGTATATGCAGGTGATCCGCCCACCCCGAGCTCTAAGAACCAAGCATAAAGTCGAAGAAGGAAATCAGCACCCTCTCGACGATTCAATATCTCGACGATTCAGCAACTCTGCAACTCTATCGACTGTTTGTTCACGAGCATCAACAGTCCGGCGCCCACCGTGGGGCTACTTTCCTCTTTTTGAGAAAAAATGACAGGTTCTGAGCGATGAGTGGACCAATCTCCTCCGAGGCTACCTCCTCCAAATTATGTGACTCAGGATCAACTGGAACAGACGGTAGACAGGCTCTCTCTCTATCTATGAAAGAGCAGTTTGCCGCTCTGACCAATGAGCTTCCGTGGCGAATCCCGCGGCAGCCGCACGTCGCTGAACAACCTCTCCATCTGGAGATCGGTATAAAGCCATTGGTACCTAATCTGGATAAAACCAAGGCACAACGACTTCTCAGTCGGTATCAAGACCTTGGTACTTAATCTGGATAAAACCAAGGCAAAACAACTTCTCAGTCGGTGTCAAGACCTTGGTACCTAATCTAGATAAAACCAAAGTAAAACGACTTCTCAGTCGGTATCAAAACCTTGGTACCTAATCTGGATAAAACCAAAGTAAAACGACTTCTCAGTCGGTATCAAAACATTGGTACCTAATCTGGATAAAACCAAAGCAAAACGACTTCTCAGTCGGTCTCAAGACATTGGTACCTAATCTGGATAAAACCAAGGCACAACGACTCCCCAGTCGGTGTCAAGACCTTGGTACCTAATCTGGATAAAACCAAGGCAAAACGACTTCTCAGTCGGTATCAAGACCTTGGTACCTAATCTAGATAAAACCAAGGCAAAACGACTTTTCAGTCGGTCTCAAGACCTTGGTACCTAATCCGGATAAAACCAAGGCACAACGACTTCTCAGTCGGAACAAAGTCCTTGGCTCTTCATCTAAGAACTAAACAAAGCACAACGACTTCTCAGTCGGTATAAAGCCCTTGATACCTAATCTGGATAAAACCAAAGCACAACGACTTCTCAGTCGGTAAAAAGACCTTAGTACCTCCTCAGGGTAAAACTAATGCACAACCCTTCGACCGACTCCCACAGTCACCTCTCGGCCTTAGGGGAAAGGGTCTCCGGAGGTAGAGCGGCCGCATCAGCAGTTGCTGAAGCTTCTTGGCCCAGAGCACCAACATCAGCAGGAGGAGTAGGCATTACAGGGGCTTCAGTCCCCCCTTCCATTAGCGGAATGACAGCTGTCGTTTCCTCATCTGCACCGTCTAAAGACTCACCGTCATCTTACTGTCAAAATCAGTTCTGCTCAGACCCGCTCACCTATTTTTCCCTTGAATCCGGCCACAACCGCATCCAAGCGAAAGGCGCTGACTGTTATAGGGTGTCCCCTATTCCCCATAAATATATTATCCCAGGAACAAACTCAGTCGAGCCGGCTTCATTCCCCAAAGACGACCCGAAAGGCGGACTCAGTCGAACCAAAGATTGCCACTCGGCGATCACCCGAATCTTCCCCCAAGGGCGACTCGGAACATTATTCCTCAAACATTATTTTACCATTCATGATCATCATTACGACTCCACGTCACCCTACCAACAAGCCCCGACAGCTGCTGGGTCCCCATAACAGAGAAGTGACTTCATGTTACCCGCTGACAAGCCTCAACGGCTGCTGATTCCTCACGTCACTAAAGTGACCTCCCATCACTCACCAGTCGACACGTATCGGGCAGAAGATGACTCAGCCTCCAGCTCAGCACTCGTCATCATCATCAACAGCTTTTCTCACTGAAATGCCGATTCGACCCTTGGCGCCCTCTATAAATACATACGCTATTCCTCCCGAAAAAGAGAGAGGTTGGATTTTCTTACTACCAAAAAAACCCCTAGACACATATTAGAACACATCGTTCTTCCCTAAAAACCCCACTCAAGGCCACCAGCTAACTGGACCGTCGGAGGTACCACGGGGGAAACAAGCCCCGTACTCCCACGATTCCTGTGTGGGCAGGTTCTTAATTTGAGACTTCGACAACGGCCACGCGATAAACGCAGCACCGGAGGAATTTTAGCTATTCTACAAAGTACTGAATAGGCTAAAAGATGAAGAAGTCAAGGATTGAAACCATTCACAAACCATTCTACGTAATTTCCTCAACAAAGCACTGGAGAAATTGCAGGGAAAGCTTATCATGATCTAAATCTGAGAGATCATCATCTCTAATGCACATAGCATAAGAACACATAGTTCTATTACCACACCCTAGTCCGATGGCTGACTTGACCGTCGGAGGTACCATAGAGTGTAGACATCAAAAAATGCTTACAGACATTCAAACACCACTCAAGACGATATAGAAGAACAATATACACGTCATCAAGCAACACATGGCGGCGCGGCAGGACATGGTGCCGCGGCTAAGGCGCGGCAGACCAAGGTGCCGCGGCTAAGGCGCGGCAGCCTATGGTGTCGCGGCTTAACCGCTGCAACCTATGGTGCCGCGGCAGTTAAAGCAGGATGCTACAGCAGTTATAATACAGTTATCTGATGATTATTTAAAGTCCACGTGGCGGCGTATCAGAAATAGAACGTGTGCTGACGTGGAAAAACAGTTAAACCACGAAAAAGGTGGTTAAAGATCGTGGGAGAACTGTTTCAAACACGTATGAACGTGGGTGTAACTGCCCCTTTAGCCGCGGCAGTGTCGACTGCCGCACCCTTTGGCCGCGACATTGTCGACTGTCGCGCCCTTTAGCCGCGACAGCATCAGCTGCCGCGCCTAAAGAGACAGTTATTGATCGGCTATTTCTTCAGTTATCGTCTAAGGAGGCTATAAATACCCCCCTATGGCCATCATTGACAAAGACAGAGAGCATTTTGGAGCAGAAGAGGCTTGAGCTTTCAGTGATTTTGAAGAAGAGAGAGAATTTTCACCCTTTGACAAGCATCATTCGGTGATTCCTAGAGATCTAAGCTCAGACTTGATCTTTGGAAGAACGGACATCTTACATCGATAAGATATTCATTTTCAAATCTTTACTTCGATAAACGAAGGAGAGATCCCTAAGCACCTTCACGATCTTTGAATCGGTGATCAACGAGCCAAAGCACTCACGGCACAGGCAAAGTCCCACAAAAAACAGTAGTTGATAAACGACTTATGTGTTATTTTCTCGAAAGTTGTAATTTTGTTTATTTTTCATTGTAACATTCTGTAAGCAATCGAAGTTTAATGGAATCTGCAATGGAAACGACTTTCGCTGAAAACAAACTGGCGACCACAGGGGGAGCCAGCGGCCTCGCTGCCGAGGCCGCAGTGTCCGTCAAATAGCTAAGGCCTTGGAACAAACCGACGGAGTTCGTTATCATGCGGACTTAGAGTCGAGGAGACATAGAGTGGTTCAGTTGTCTCAACGACCAATCACTCATGTCTCTGCTAAACTCACGACGGAGGAATGGACCCTTGTCAAAAGGGCTCGCTCAACCCTCAAAGAACGTATACAAAAACGTCGTGCAAACGCTGTTCATGCCCGTGCTCTTTTACAACAAAGACAAGAAGGGAAGAAGGAAACAGTGTCTAAGGAAGCACCAAAGAATCACAAAGTATGGATCCCCAAATCCAAACTCGTATTAAAGTCGGATCTGCATAATCCAACCTGTGACCGCGGCAGTCTTCACTGTCGCGGCAAATCCTTCAACCGCGGCAGTTTCCACTGCCGCGGCACGTCTTGCGACCGCGACGATCTTCCCTGCCGCGGTCAAAGAGAAGCTCCAAAGAGTTTTCCTTCAGCCCCATCAACGTCCATTCCTGGTCCGTCTACTACAATCATAATTGTTCCATCACCAGGGAAGCCACGGTTCAGTCCTGACCTGTCAATATCCAAGATCACGATGGCGGATCACCTCAGTCCCTCATCTGACGATCAAGACAAAGCTCCAGTTAAAGAACGCTTGGGTCCCGTGAACGAATCCCAGGAGCCCGTTAAGACACCACATCCGCAAAGGGGTGGTTCTAAACGTGTGACTCCTGACATAACCTTGGATCGCTCAAGAACAAAAATAATTTGTCCTGAGAATGCCAACAAGGTCTTACGCCCC